CATATATTAAAATATTTGCTATCAATTATCTATAAATATTAATCAATGGTAACAGATTTTATATGCGAATATTCACTAGAACATATTTTTGCCATGTAGTACATATCAATAAAATATATTGACATGCATGTTGAAAAGATAATGCTTAAAGTCCTTAATTAAATATTTTAACATTAATGAAGTTGACAATGTATCCTGAAAGTCTAAGATAAAAGAAATAATGAAATGGTATAAAATGTTGGAAGGAATCATTTGAATTGGAAGTATAAAACATATAGTAAGTTAGATAAAGTGTTGGCTATGATGAAGTTGGAATATGTTATATTTACATTATCTTGTGGCTTTTCTGATTAGTGGAGAAATTATGTATTAGTACACAGCCAGGGAAGGCTTATGTATTCAACAACCCATTAGCTCACTCATATTTTGTCTTTTCTTTCTTAAAATTATAAAGTAAGAACAAAAATATAATAAGAACTGCACTTAATCATATGCTCTCCACCTGCATCATGTTAATTTGCTAGCCCTTCTCTTTCGTTTCCTTTTTCCATTAGACTAATTTTCTCAAGCTCATCTTCTTCTTTAATAAGAGAAAAAGCTTCACTTTGAATTCCAGTGACAATACAAATTAATTGCAAGATTACGAACACCCTTCACCACTCATTATCTTCTAATGGCAAATTTCAGGAAGGCTTTGACAAAGAATGCTTAAACAGAGAAAAAATAAATTCATTCTCTTGAATGAACTTTCGAGGAGGAGTTCCATGTGAATTACACAAACACAATCACATCTAAGTCAATTGTATAAGGGATCGACACCACTCTTTACTCAAAACCTTAAGTCAATGGGTTAATGGGTTCATCTTTATATATTGCTCTACTTTCTCATTTCTATCCGATGTGAGACTTGGATACCCAACATGAACTACTTTCTTTACCAATACTTATTTTTATTGATAGATACTATTATGAACTACGAATCTCCTACTAAAAAACATAATAACCTGAAAATAGAAAATCCGATCACTTATTTATGTAAAACAGAGACACACATTTTATATAATTGAACTTTTTGTAATTAAATGTATTTCATTGATAAATATTATAGATCTTAAATAATTGTAAAAATAGATATTAATACTGCAACTCTGATGTTTTAAGAATATAAAATCAGTAATAATATGAGAATCAAATTATGATGACAAAATCAATCAAAATAAATTATGACAATAATTAAGAATTATGACTCGAATTATATTGAAGTTTATTTAACAATTTAAAGTGTACAATTATCCTTAAATCATATTGTTCTATGATGGTTTTTGCTTTTTTTCTACAATAAATTACAAGCACTATTGGCTAAATATTTAAGACTGAATATGTCGGACATTCCTATTGACTAAAAATAAAAGACCAACATCGTTTAATCACCTAAATTAATTTTATAGAATAAATTAAATTTAAAAACTCATTTTCAAAATGATATTAGATTCATTTAAATTTTATTTCAATAAAATTTATTATTTATTATATTTGTTATATCACATAGACGTTCCAGGGTGTGTTGAAGATATGAGATACTAAAATTTAAACTCAAGGGACAGGTTTGATATTGCATAGGAGGTGTCCCTTACTTTGGCTAAATATTAATACCAACCCCTTTCGCTTTGTTAACTTGAATGAATCTAGGGGAGAGTGATTGAATGGATTTGAGAGAATTTGAAAGTAAATTTTTTGTTGTTGTTTATTTAAATAGATTTGGAGGTAAGTGAGAGTGGATTTGAAAGCAAATTTTTTAATCTGTCACATTAATCAAATCGTACATTAATTCTCACAAAATTTACTTTAAAATCTAGTCTCACTTACTTCCAAATCCACTCAAATAAACAACGAAAAAGGTTTACCTTCAAATCTTCTCAAATCCATTCAATCACTTTTCTCCAAATCCATTCAAGTGAACAAAGTCTTATTATATATCTTTGAGTTTGAGGTTAAACCAACAATGCTAGATATTGAGTGTTAACTAATTCATAAGGTTTGACAATGGCGTGGGGCCAAACTTTCAGTCATCCTCACACCCTGCTTCCAAGCAATCAAATGTGAGGGCGAAACGTGGAGCAACCAGAACCAGTGCTGTAAAACTCATGATTAATTAGTAGGGAATGACACTGAAATTTCCTTCAACACCAAATAACTGAGATAATAATTAAGTGTTATATGGTGGAATGAAATGCGAAAACTTTTCTTTCTGACTTAACTTTATTAGCACCGCAAACATGCTGATTCAAGACTCCTTTTAAGGAATTGTGGTTTATAAATGACGAGCATGCAATATTGTATATGTTGCAGAATCCTACGTCTAAGGTATCTGGTTCTGAGTCAAATCAGCTTTTTGGTTTATAACACAAATAGCTAAGATTAGAGGGAGTACATTATTGAAAGCAATGAGAAAAGAAAAGAGAAAAAGGAACGGTGCACATTGAAAGAACATGGTACATAGCGTGTGCAGGCAGAATTCTATATTTGAAGTAAGTTGACCAAGTGATGTGGAGTGGATCTAGTGGAGGACAAAATGATACAAAATGCCAACTCATTTTGACCATTCTTAATTTCATCTTTCGTTGGAGTCCCACTTTTCAACATTTCAATGCATGCACTCCTTTTCAATTTCAACTCCTCTTCTTTTCTAAATTAATTCCATCTTAAATATTGTTCGGAATATAAATGTTAATCCAAGTCTCATGTTAAATAAAAATAAAAAAGTAGATAAAAAACTTATTAATTTATTATCTTGAGATTTTAGATAGAGAGTGATGTCAATTCTTTGTATGGTTTGATTCAGAGTGATAGTACATTTGTTTTTTCTTCTTATATACGCTATTCTACTCTATCACAAGTAATTTTGTTTTCAATGTTAGTCAAATAAGCTGCAGTAATGAATTTGAGAACTAAAAACAGATTGGTAAATTAATGTTTGTACGAGGGGCACTTGCTGATAATTATGGATGAATTCCCAGAATCGAAAAAGACACGAAAGAGGAAGAAAACCACAAATGTTAGGTGCCCCATACTCATAGTTACTTGGAGAAGGACACTTTTAGGGTCTTCTCTCTATATGATTTGATGTTTCAAAATGACAGCAAACAGTTTCAGAATTGAGACATAAATCTCATTAATCATTATGCTGATTCTTGAGCAGTAACACAACAATGATCGCCATGAAATCTTAGATGCATGCTACCCACAAAGCTCGTGGTTGATGGGTCGTATTCATCAGTTTTGCAGATAGCATTCCATAATTGCTGCCAGAACCGGAACCAGAACCTTCTCTTCCTTTTGCTCTCCACCAATAACTATGTGTATTTGTCTTTGCTTTTATCTTAAGGAGGACAATAACTAGCCAAAACAAATTCAAATTAAAACTCGAATGTTTCATCACATTTATGAAATATCATTGGACGTAGGTAAATAACATTTAAATATTGATGTATAATATAACATGGACCATAGTTTAACAACTTTTTTTTAACAATTTTTTGACAATGGATTACGTGTCATTATTTTATTAGTCTATATATTTGAAAGAGACTAATCACAATCTATCACATAAGCGATTGTAAAAATGTTGTCAAAAAAAGTTGTTAAAATATAACATTGTGTTTGTGATTTCACATCTTATCCTACAGAACTAAAATTATCATCTTATAAGTCAGTTTTATAGAATTAAATTAAATTTAAAGTTCACTTTTTTAACATGATATCACAAACATGTATTACAACCTATTCTAGTGAGATTTGTTGTCTCTTAAACTTATTATTTACTATCGGAATATTTTTTGTTTATTGAACTTATCGTGATACTTGTTATCAGATCACTTGTTAATATCTAGTCTTCCGTCCGAAACGTATCAAACTTATTTTATAAATTAGTTTTATGAAATTGAATTTATCTTAATATTGTCTAAAAATTTATTAGGTACATTGCATCCTAAAACTCAGGTTTTATATGTATAAATCTATATTCGCTTATATACAATTATACGTGGTAAATGCCACATCACGTCACATGATCATTGATATGTGACAAAAATAATTATTTATATTTTAAATCAAATAAAAATTAAAAAAAAATCATAAACTGTAACATCTTAGTACATTACTAATGAAAAAAAATCAGATTGTATTAAAATTTCCAAAATAAAAACTAATCTGAGACACACAAAAAGAAAACAACATAATTGAGATTTTTTAACAAATAGAAATAAAAAACATAATTTAACCTTTTATTATTTACTTACATCTAATTAGTTTTTTTTTTCATTATCTATCCTTTTATACTTAAAAAAAACTGTTCTTAGACTATTATTTTTTTTTGTAAAGCTAAAGAAAGTATTTTGTAAGATAGTACAGTTGAAAGGAGTTTTCTGGAAGAGGATCCATTTGCTGCCCGCAAATTTTTTTAATTTTAATATTTCATGTATGTTTATATATTTTTGGTTTTTTTTTCGCATCATTAAAAAAATTTCACTTAAAATGTATCTCTTACATTTTGTGCCAATATTGTAACAATAAATAATTTAATAAATAAACCGAAATAATTTTTTACTGGAAAAAATACGAAATCCTTTCTTACTTAAATATGGATGACTTTATTTCTTAGTTTGAGTGAGATAGATGTTGATTTTTACAAAGACATGTTCACACACTTGTGGTCGTGACTCATATTTCTTAGTTAAATAGTTTAAGATTAATTGTGCTGGGATGTTTAAATCATATGCTCTACTTAATCTTTGTAGTTTAGGTGAAAATATATTTAACATGCAGAGTGAAAGCAGGAGAGATGGTGGGAAGATTATCTGACAGAGGTTGTCCGAAAATACTAAGAATTAGAAAGAATGATTGAGATGGGGAGATGAAAAGTCTGGAGTTTTCAACTCTCCCCGCCCGCAATGTCCCACCATCCATTTCTTAATTGATTCATCTCTTGCCTACCCTACCACACTGCACTTGTTCACTCACTGCTTTTTCCTTTCTCATGCTGCAATTCCTATATATACATGCTTCTCTTCTCGTCTCTTCTCACCACAAACAAATAATTCTATTCTCTTATGGACAATAACGAAGAAATCCCTTCAACACCTGCCACACCAGGCACTCCAGGTGCACCTCTCTTTGGAGGTTTCAATGCCACCAATAGGTCTAATAATGGTAACAAGAACTCTCTTCTCAAGAGTGGTAGATGTTTCATTGAGACCTTCATTCTCATGTTGGCCACCACTGCCGCCGTCATTGTCAACCAGAAGACAAACGGCTCCGAGACCCTCATAGGCTGTGCTGCCACCACTGGTCTCGCCGTTATGATCGTCATCCTTGCCACTGGCCATATCTCCGGTGCTCATCTCAACCCGGCTGTCACTCTTTCCTTTGCTGCATTGAAGCATTTTCCATGGAAGCATGTGCGTATTTACTTAATTATTTTGTGCTGAAAAACAACTTCTTTTTCATTGATATATCTAATCTTTACAGGTGCCTATGTATATTGGTGCACAAGTTTTGGCATCTATTTGTGCTGCATTTGCTCTAAAAGGGGTTTATCATCCTTTCATGAGTGGTGGAGTCACGGTTCCTTCCGGAGGATATGGCCAATCTTTTGCTTTGGAATTCATTATTGCTTTCAATCTCATGTTTGTTGTCACTGCAGTTGCCACCGACACTAGAGCTGTGAGTCTATTTTTCTCCTCTCTTTATGTCCCCTCACACATTATTTATTTTGTCTCATAATGTCTTATTGATAACAGAGGATCTGTTTTGTTTGAGAGGAAACTGAATTGAATTTTAATCTATAAAAGGTTATATATATTAATCCAAATTTAGTCATACGTTAAATTTCATGTATGTAAAAAGAATCTCTCTTATAAAAATCGATTCCATAGATAATTTCAAATCTTGCATGAAAATTGAAGGGAAGTGTGAGGGATGTGCGACAGATCCAGAAAATATTATTGTTGGGAGAGTGGAAGGAGAGATGTTAGCTATTGTGCGGCACATGAAAGTTGTTCGTATATGAAGAAGTTGTATATAATAAGTTTTGCAGTGAGATTATTATGCTTTGTCCGCGTTTTAAGTATTTGGAATCTTGCTGGTTTGCACCACAGAGTGATATTTTTCCTACTATGAACATAAAAACACAAACATCACCCTTATTTAAAATCAAGCACAGATCTAGAAACGTACAATTACAGGGAATAAATCAATTTTACTACTAATTAACCGTTTCTGCAGAAAAACAGAGCTGACACCTGTTTTAGCAAATAAAGTATGATGCACAAAAAGATACATGTATTCGTATTTGTACATATAAATATAAGAATATATATATATGGATTTCATCCATGTGCCTGCATTTAAGTCGGTGATATAATTGCAGGTTGGAGAACTCGCGGGAATCGCGGTAGGAGCCACTGTCATGCTCAACATACTTATAGCAGGGTATGTTATCTTTTATGTTTTTGCTAACTACTCAGATACCTAAAAATGATAACAAAAGTTACTAAACGAAACAAATATATCAAATTGATTGTTTATATATTTTTACAAAATTGGTACATAAAATTGTCATTCATAATACTATTTTCTCAATTTTACTAACGAAAGACATTAAATTGAATTTTTTAATAATGTTAGAAACTAAATAAAAATGAGAACTTTAAGCAATTGGTAAAATTTAATGGAATGACTTCTTACCGAATTAAAAATTATATAATAAGTTTGAAAGAACAGACTAAAATGGTTTACACTTATAATTTCAGATGTTAATTTAGAGGTAAGTTTTAGTATACATCAGTCTTGAGAAATAGTAAGGTGCTTTTAAACATTGCATAAGCAAGCTAATGAAAACAAATAATTCCTTTTCTATAATAAATATCAAAAGAAAGATGGGAGAGAAAAGATAAGAGAATTTTTTTTTTTTCATTTTCTCTTACAAAAGAAAGGGTTTTGGTCTTTTTAGAACCGTTTCAATGTAAGATCATATTTCTCTCTGAATAGGGTACAAATCTCATTCAAGTTTTGATCAATTTCTTTATCTAATAGTAGAATTGAATTTAAGATTTTAATTAATTAAATTTTTGTAAGTCATACGAGGAATTGTTTTACTGAAATAAAACTTAAAATATAATATATTTTTTTTGTTTTGATTTATATCTTATGTTTCAAAAATGATGCTTAAAAACCACTAGTTACATATTTACTTTTGAAATACAACGGTTCTATCCTTAATGAGTTCCAAATATACCAGTAATTTTCTAAAACTATGTTTTTTTAATTTCTCTTAAAAAAATTTAAATTGATGAATTACAATACAAACTAGTTCACTTATTTCTAAACTTATTTTGATTTCAATTACTTTGAAAAAAGTTAAAAGGAAAACTGATTCAAAATGTATATTTATCAATATATTACGGTAATTTCAACCACTTAAATCTTAGGTTGAATATGTCATTTTTTTTTACTTTAAATTTTAGAAACGAAAGTCATTTTCTATAATTATTTTCTGAAGAAAAAAAAACATATGATCCTATTATTATTATTCCGTACAAAATAAAAAAGCTTTCAACTCATTACATATTATTATCAAGCACTTTTCTGATCCAAAATTCCCAATAACTTGATTGTAAAGAATTCTTCAGTGTCTCAAAAAACATTTTTTTCAACAAATCACAAAGTAAAATTGCATAAAATTGTCCCTAAAAAGTGAAATTTGTTTAAATGCTTAACCAGGCCAGTATCAGGCGGCTCAATGAACCCAGTAAGAACATTAGGTCCTGCTATTGCAGCAAACAACTACAAAGCTATATGGGTTTATCTGATAGCTCCCGTACTTGGAGCTCTAGCCGGTGCAGGTACTTACACTGCAGTGAAGCTGCCTGAAGAAGACGATGATGCCAAAGCAAAAGCTTCAATAAGCTTCAGAAGGTGACTTGTCTCTATTGTCAGAAGTCATTCTATCTTTTAAAGATCCAATTTGGAGACTGCAACATGGTAGGATATTTGTACTTTCAAATGATAATACATAACTATTGTAGAAAGCAACCACAAAAGGAGAAAATTTGGTTAGTGTATAAAATGTGAATTGAAGTGTACGATGTATTTAATGTATTATGGTATTAATAAATGGTGTGTAGTGCATAAAAATTCGGTTTCTATTTTTATTTATTTTATATCTTGAAAAGGAATGTAAAATTTGACTGATTAATTCCTTAAAAATGAACGTGTTAAGTAGATAAAATCTTAAAAATCTTTAATTATATGGCACAAAAGCAAGTGGGGGAAGAACATATAGAAGTAAATATGTGAAATTTTAGTTGGTTACTTTGTCCAATCACGTATAACATATCAGTAGGGCACATTACAATATGCAAGGCACACTAGTCACTGGGAGATAATATGCTTAAATCAAAGACAAGGGGAGACCACAGTATTCAATTCCAAAAACAGTGAAATCGGTTGCAATACCATGTATTAGATTCCAAAAACCATGAATTGATTACAAGATCACGTATTCGATTATGCTCTTCATGCATAGCATTGTGGTATCGATTCCACTTAGTCTACCGGAATCGGTTACAAGCTTAGTGGTTCGTCTTCTTCCTCTCATATGCATGACTTCCTGGTTTGCCCAAGTTTTGGATTCTTCCTTTTCTCTTCAACCTCAACTTCAAGCATGTCCTTTCACAAACATGGACAAAGTTGACCTCATAAATCTGTTATCCATTAAAGAAGTGATCATGAATGTGTCAAACTCACCTCAAAGAACACAGCCGAGAAGACCCTGTGAACTGGGAATTTATTTTATTATTATTACTCTGAAACAAATAACAGAGTTGGAATCGATTCCCTCTATTTTGGAATTGATTACATTGTCCACATATGCATAGGTTTTCATGTAATTTTGCTTTTGTTGAAGATCAAAATTGGATTTTGCACTTCGATTCACTCAAATCTAAGCACACATGCAAAGAATCAAAATTCATCAAATCTCGCAAATCATCATCTCTCCTCTCTTCCAAATTCACTCAAGAGAACACAATTTTAACGTCCAATCCATTTACGCAAATTACACTTCTACAGTGTTTTCCTCTCAAACGAATTCCTCTCAAACGAACACACAGGATAAATGTTTGAAAATGAATTGCACATCGAAGAGAAGAAAAGTAATGATGAGATTTGAAAAGACAAACAATTAACCATGATAAATATACATAAATTGAAACAAAAAGAAAAAGGAGAAAAGAGTTACCGAGATCAAACAAGGGAAAGGGCGCGCGTGTGAGAAGGCGGAGGGGATCGGAGCGAGAATGGGAAGAGAGAGAGAGCTAATGAAGCGATGCAGACGCCGAGGATGTTGGCAAGGGCGTCCCTGAGAGAAGCCCCAGAAGAGCGGAAGTAGCCGAGGTGATCGGCGGCCTCTTTGGCGGCACCGGCGAAGAGGGAGAGGAGTGATCCGATGGAAATAGCGTGACGGCGGTATCGTGTGAGAGAAGCGAAGGCGTAAAAGAGAAAAGTGAGGAAGAAAGACATGAGTAGGTGATAGAGCTTGTCGATTCCCAGCCACGGGTCTGAGACTCCCTCTCCTTCCTCCATTCCCCTTTCTCCCTCCCACTCTCTCAATAAAAAAACGTGATATTTTTTATTAGATCAAAATTATTTTTTCTTTGCTTTTTAACTTTTTTTTTTCTATTTCAATGTTAATTTTATCTTTATTAATATATTTTTTAATTTTAGTTTTTAGATTTATAATTATTTTTTTATTTAATGCATTACGTTTAATAAAATAATAGTTATCATAAAATTGTACAAATTATTTATTTTATAATTATTGTTGTGAGTGTACTTTTCTTTTATAAACTTAATAATATTTTTATTTATTTTAATATAATGGTAAGAAATAAATTTATTTTTAATATCATAATATAGACACATGTGCTTATTATAGCCTATTTATTTTTATTAAACAACTATATTTTATCTTTTTCTTTAAATATAAATATTAGATAAACTTATGCTTAAATTCATTAAAATTTATGGCATGGAGATTGAAATTCATAGAATAAATCAATAATTAAATAAAAAAATTTGTAAGTTAAAAAAAATAACAATAAACAATTTAAAATTAAAAAACAGTAATTTAAATTTTTTAAAAATAACTAAAAAAGTATAATTAAATTATATATACAAATTAATAATTAAAAAAAAATACTTTTATCTCGTCTTAAATGAAACAGGACAACATAACCTAAAACAAATATAAGTAGTCACGACCTAAAATAAAAATTTTAAATATGCCACTGATATACTATATATCGATCTAATATTGACTGAGAGTTCATCGTACAACAATCTAATATGTCATCCACATATTATATATCAATCTAATATATTAATTATATATATTTATTTTGCATACTTATTTTTCATAACTAAATTTAGTTCATACTTATTTGTGTAATCAACATAACCTTAAACAAATTATAAAACATCACCGTAAAATGTGTGCAAAAGAATTTGAATGGTAAGTTGTTCGAAAATTAAAAACCTGGTACTAAAATGTAAAAAGAAAAAAAATGAAAGATAAAAATCGAAAAGAAATAATAATTGAATGAGAAAGTGTAAAAAAGTCAAATATATTATTTTGATAAATTTTTATTAGAAAAATAATTCACAAAAGATGTTATTAAATATTTCCCCTTGTTGACTTTAAAGTTTTCAAAGAAATCTATTCGTGGAAAAGGACTATTTTAACCGATAGGATTCTAGCATGTATATATCTTTTATGTTAACCTTTTATACAAATTATCATTGGAGTTTTTGACGTTTATGATTATATATTTTATATATCAATTTTACATTAAATATTTATAAATAATCATTATTATTATTATATAATAGTCTTCTTAAATTATTATAATTCGTTTAGTTATATGTTATTACTACTAATATGATATTTTAATTTAGTAGTACTGTATATATGTGTAACGTCTATATTCATATAATGTGATATAAGTTGACTTTAGAACACAAATTAAAAGTTAGCAAAGTTGACAAATGAAGTTACTTCGTATTATTACCAAATTATTTAATAATGTTAGGCAGCCTAGTGAGCTAAGTTGGTTGGTTTTGGAGGAAAAAAAACTACTCACTCCTCGATAAATATGTACCATTTATGTTCATGCATTGGTCATTCTCTTGCATCAAATAGATTTTTGATAAAGGATGTAAGTAAACTTCTTTGTATTTCATCATATTTATGCATGTCTTGCTTTTCAGTTTATATGCTTCTTTATTTGATATTTGCTTTGCATATACATGTCATCAAATTACAGAATGGCTAATAGGGAGATTTGGAAGAGTTTCAGAACATTGTTAGTTGTAATTTCCGTAACCTTTTCCATTTTAATCGTATTTTTTGCCATATACCAAAAGTCAATGTTTGATATCCCCAAAGATTATAATGTATTGATTGAAAGAATTCAGGATACAACTACTAATATACAAAAGACTCGGAATACTATTACAATCCGAGACGGGGAAGAAAAGAATTCCTATATTAGTGAGCCGGTTGCAGGTAAGTTAGTTGATTTAAACTTATATGGTTATTTTTAGTGCTGTTGGATTGTAACTCACGAGCTAATCCACTCACCACGGGTTTAAGTCAGGTTGGGTTTAAGAAAAATGTAATTCTTTTTATGCATGTTAGTTTTCAACCCGGCTCACTTGAAAACCGGCTCATCCGGATTTAATTTAATTATTTATTATTTTATGTTTCAATATTATTAGTTAACATTTTTTTATTATATTGTAGACATGGATAAATCAAAAGAGAGAAATATTATAGATTTATCTATTCAAGACTCTAATATTATAAATAAACAAGTGATACAAAAATGATGAATATTAAACACTTAGTTGTTCGTCTTTTGTGCTTGTTTTTGGATCAGGCTTGGATTGTATGATATTTTTTTTTATTTTGAATTGCCTTTGGAGTTTAACATCATTTTAAAGTGAAATTAATTTAGATTTGAATTAAAAAATATATAAAATTTTTATTTAAAAAAAACTTATAATTAAGTGAACTAGTGAGTTAACCTGTTTAATCCACCAACCTGTGGTGGGTCAGACCGGGTTCGAATTTTTTCAGCTCGTTAATAAGTGAGCCGAATTGGATTGGCTCACTAAGTGACCAACCCGTGGTGGGTCGGGCCAGGTTATCCGTTTTGATACCTCTAGTTATTTTCAAATACCAGGATTATTTGGATATAATTATTGTAGAAAATTATGTAATTTTGTTTTATTTTTTTCACAGATAAATATTTAGAGAATAATGCATTTAAAGATACAAAGAATAATTTATCTCTATCTACTACTATTGTTAATGACAAACTACTCAATGGACTTCTAAGTTCCTCATTTGAAGAAGCATCGTGCATTAGTAGATTTCAGTCTTATTTGTATCAGAAAGTTTCTCCTTACAAACCTTCTAAATATTTGATATCCAAGTTACGAAACTATGAACATCTTCATCAAAGTTGTGGACCTTATACTACATCCTACAATGAAACTATAAAAGAGGGTGCAAAAGTTAGCAAAAATGGTGTTGATTCAAAATGCAAATATTTTATATGGACAGTTGAAGATGGCTTAGGAAACAGAATGATATCCATGGTTTCAGCATTTCTTTATGCAATCCTTACAGATCGTGTTCTTCTTGTTAGATTTGGTGATGATATGTTGAATCTCTTTTGCGAGCCATTTCCTAATTCTTCATGGTTATTGCCCAAGAATTCTCCTTATTGGAATGATCTGAAACAATTTGAAACACACAAAATCATCTTTATTGATAACAAGGAAAACAATTCACGAGAGCTTTTGCAACCAGCTCTTGTTATTAATTTAAGACACACCCATGCTGGCCCTACTAATCGGTTTCATTGTGATAAAAATCAGCATCATTTACAAAAGATTCCTGTACTCATTCTACAGTCAAATGAATATTTTGTCCCTACTCTTTATATGGTGTCCTCATTTAGAGAAGACTTCGACAAAATGTTTCCTGACAAAGACACTATTTTTCATCATCTTGGACGCTACCTTTTTCAACCATCAAATGTTGCATGGGAACGAATTCGAAATTTATATGAGGAACACTTGGCTAAGGAAAATGAAAGGATTGGCTTGCAGATTAGAGTATTTAATACTCGTCAAGCACCACCACAAACCGTTATCGATGAAATTATATCTTGCACCCATCAAAATAAGTTGCTGCCAAAATTCAACATGCATAACTTAAGGACTCTTCCTTTGAAAGATAATACCTCAAAAGTTGTTCTAGTTGTATCTTTATACTCAAAATATGGTGAAGGGTTAAAGAGTCTATATCAAAATAATACAACTTTGAGTAGAGAAGTAATAAAAGTATATCAGCCAAGTCATGAAGAGCATCAGAATTCACGTAATAGCATGCACAACATTAAGGCATGGACTGACATATATTTGTTGAGTTTGTGCAATTCATTGGTTACAAGCACCTTTTCCACTTTTGGGTACGTTGCCAGTAGTCTTGCAGGTTTGAAGCCACTGATTTTGAAAAATGTATATGGTAAAAAAGTTCCGAATCCACCTTGTGAACAAGTCAAGTATATGGAGCCTTGTTTCCTTGATCCTCCCATATATGATTGTAGGACCAATACCAAAATTGATTATACTTCTGTATTTCTTAATATGAAACACTGCCAAGATCATGCAAAAGGAATAAAGATGATTAATATTTGAGTAAGTAACAAATAAATTAAATAAATAATTTTGTTTATTATTGTTTTAATAATTTATTTACATTTATTTTTTAAGTTGTCTCATTAACCACGAAAGAATATATATTTTGCATTTCAGGAATTTTAAATTATTCTTACACTATAAGTTTTTTTTTGTTATAAATAAATTTATTGATAAAATGAAATTTACTGATAAATTTAAATTTTAAATTACTAAAAAAATATCCATTTATAATAAATTTGCTTATAAATCCGAATTTGTATTATTAACAAATGATTCCGTCAAAAAACTTAAATTATTAACAAATTTATAATAAATGATTTTTTTTATAGAGTTAACCCACTTCAAATTTTACATATTAGCAAAGAGATTGTTCGTGGTCAAATTGTAGGTAACCTTCTTATATTACAAATATAACTCTTAAAAATACAATTCACTAACCTCTTTTCTCTCTCTTATATATA